TACCTGCGTTCCTCGTGGACTTCCCTGTGATGTTTGCGAATACAATATTTGGGTGCTTCACAAGGGCAGTGTGCTAGTCCGTTGGGCAAGTGGCTGGCATTTCTTCCCTTTTTGAAATAGCAAAGAGTCAGGGAGGATCAGAAATAATTCAAAATTTTGGATTGACAAGCTTGTCTGCGTAAAGCTTTAATTTTCCAAGATACTCGCTGACTAATACATACAGGGAATAGCTCCCATTGACCTCAGTGCTGCCGATGGTGTTTCCCTTTGTGAAGACATTGGACATCAAAAAAATGCAAGCCAGACTTAAAAAAAAAAAAAAAAAAAAAAAAAAGGTTGAAATGACCTGTCCTGGCACTGATGGTGATGGGATGCTGTTCTCCAAGGCAGTGTTCGTTGCTGTGAGATTCTCTGTTTTGTCCTCAGGTCTTATTCACTTCATGTCCTCCCAGTGCTGTGCTGAATGAGCAGGGACCTTGGGTTGTTGCTGCTCAGATCCATCCCTGGACAGATCCAGAGGATGTGCTGAGTAAGGGAGGGAGCCGTTGGTAAGAGGAGGACTGGAAGACACTACTACAATATATACATAAACGGCAGCTGAATTAATCCTGCTTTAATTATGGCATTTCTTGTGTATGCACTAAACTTTGAAACCTTGGGTTTTCTGTAAAAAGGACCTGGTTTTATTCTAATGCCTGCTTTTTTTCCAAAGCAAACTTCAAAAACAGTTGGCAGCATTGAACCACCCACAAGGGTGATAAATGCAGATCTCTGCCATTTTGCAATTAAAGTAACAAAATAATGGTAAATGATCATTGTCTGAGAGCTTGCTTTTGATGGGAAGGAGTTTGTCAGTAAGCCCATGGTATTTGTTCATGGCAGAGGGATGGCTGAATTGGGAATTTGAGGTTCAATTCCAGCTCTGAAGGGGTGAATGCTATAATTATTTTCTACCCACGCCCCAGCAAAAGCATGTCTATTTTTTTTACCTCTTCTGCACTAGCCCCTGCAACTTGGCTCTTCCCACCCCCTTGCCAAAGCACCTTTCCTCCACCATTTAGACCCTCGTGGCACCCGTTTTTAATTCCCACAGCTGCTTCCTAATCCCAATCCCTTTCTCTCGGCTCAGCACTCCACTCCCAGCCTGCCTCTCCCCGCCTCTAGATTTCCAGAGGTTTTCCCTCACATCCTTTACAGTTCTCAATCTCCCTGCATTTTCACTAAGTCCCCTCCTGGGTCTGGCTCTTGTAAGACAGAACTGGGCATCTTCTCCATCTGGCAGCCAGGAGGGATGCTAAAACCCAGCAGTGAGTCACAGTGCGGGGCAGTCTCTGGTGAGCCCTGCTGTCAGGTTGTGACTTTGTAGAGATGGCACATAGAATCACACAATGGTTTGGGTTGGAAGAGACCTTTTTCTAGTTCCAAGCCCCTTGCCATGGACAGGGACATCTTCAACTAGACCAGGTTGCTCAGAGCCCCATCCATCCTGACCTTGAATGTTTCCAGGGATGGGGCATCTACCCCCTCTCTGAGAAACTTGTTCCAGTGTTTCACCACCCTCATCGTAAAAAATTTCTTCCTTATATCTTGTCTAAATCTACCCTCTTGTAGCTTAAAACCATGGCAGAGCTCTGCATGAAATGGGGGTTTCACCCTGGGTGTGATGGCACAGGCTGGCCAAGGAGAATGAAATGTTCTCAGCAGGGCTGTAACCTGAGATTTTAGTAACTAACAGAAGTCTTAAGTGTGAACAAACAGATAATTTTTATCTTCTTCTCCCCCTCAAGCTTATAGCTTGGCCAAATTCAGGCAGACTTTTATATTGTGACAACATATCCAAGACTTTCTCCTGTATAAAGTCTCTCCAAAGATTTTGGAAGAGAAACTTTTTTTAGTTTTAAAAGAAAAAAAAAATAATCTACATATATGAAAGTTTTTTGCTTAGCCTCATTTTTAGAACCATTTTGGCTGAAATTTTCTGTGGCAAGAGAAAAAAAAAATATCAGTCCAAAGCAGACAATTCAGAAGGAAAGTTTTGCCTTTGCTGGTTGAAATGTGTCAAGGTTTTAAATAGCCCAACACAGGCTCTCATAGTGGGAAGTGTTGGCAGCTGTAAATACATAGTTACATACAGCAGGTTAATACAGCATCCAGAGGGAGGATGCCAGTACTTTCATTAACATAAATAACTTCAAACACTCTCTATTTTAATACCTATGTGTAGTACTATCATGGTAGAGGCTGGGTACGTATCTGAGCACCTTGCCATCCTGCTTAAGTGACCTCATGCTCGGGCTGTTTTTTTCCAGAGTGGAGGTGGGAGGTAGGAGGTAGGCATTGCCAGTGTGTCAGGACAGTGCTGAAAGCTCTGCAAGAGTTCCCGTGGCAAAAGGGGAAATATATTTCACCTTTTTTGAAGAAGAAGGAAACTTAGAAACAATGAGTTTGTGTGCTGTCATTGCAGTGGCTGCCAGGTCGTTCCCACCATGTGGAAATGCCCTGGCCTGCAGGTGTGTGCAGATAGTTTGTGACCTTTTTTTGGTACAGGCTTGCTGCTAGTATGGCTCTTCTGCTGTTGGATGATAACGATGGAGTAACCTTAGTGTAAAAAAAAAAAAAACAACCAAAAACAAACCAACCCCCAAACAACAAAAACCCCCAAACATTTAAATGCAAAAATTGAAACTTGCCACTTCATGAGGATGAATTTAAAACCAGCTGTCCTCAGCCTTTTCTTGTCTTGATGGCAGGTCACACCAAGAGGCTGGTGGTGCCTTAGACTGCATCTTCTTGCTTTCGTGTTGGTTTTTGTTCTTATAATGTGGAAGTTGAAGTCAATTCTTTGTCATTATGCAGCTGCTGTTCTTAATCCTTGATACAGTACACTGAATTATATTTAAGTATCTAATGAATTACTTCAAATCCAAAACACGTTAGCACTTGGAAGAATATGAAGTGGCCTTTTATTAGCTGATGTTGAGAGCTTTGCTAGTTTTCACAGAAACATCTGAACTCACCCAGTGACTTAGACAATAATCAGTCTTCTGTAGAAAAGACATGAAGTTGTTTCAGAGATTCTCCTACTCTCAAAGCCGCCCTTTTGTGAGCTAGTAAAAAAACCATTAAATTAATTTCATGCAACGAGTTGTATTTCTGCAGTGGACATCACTGGACCAAACTGGTCAGAGAGTTGTTATGGCAGGGTGCTCACCTTGAGTTTTGGGTTGGGAGGATTAGGTTGAGAGGGGAGAAGGAGTTGCCGTTCAGATCATCATCAGTGTAGTTCAACCCAAATCTCAAGGTTTCTGTTTCCAGACAAGGTCTCGTGCTGTTGGTAGTCCGTAAGTACTGCTATAGGGAATATCGCTGGGCACGGTGAGCATGTTCTCGTCTTGAGAGCTTGAACACATTTCTTCCATGGCAGTCCTTCATGGAACGAAGAAGAATGGTGATTTAACATTAGGTTTGCTACTTAACAAGCTGGGCAACGCCTACAACTTGCGAACTCAGCACTAATTCTGGAATTTAATTTCTCCATCCGTTTCCCAGCCTCTAGGAGATGTAAGCTGTCAGGAGAATAAGAAGAAATAGGGAGCATATTTGTGTGTGTTATATTTAAATTTTGGACAGTTGAAAGAATGCCATTTAATATATGTTGTTTGCTAGCATGTACTTTATTTGTACAAATCTCTTATTGCAAACAATGCAAATAACTATAACTTTTTAAAATGTTAAGACTGCTTGTTATTTCTTTAGGTTTTTCATTTCAATGAGGATGTTCTTTATACTTTTTTTTGGTTTCTCACCCTCTTCCCTGTGCAGTTAGTACAGATTATGTATATCAGTAAAGGTTTTCCAAAATGAGTAGTGACTAGTTGTTGGATCTGGTTGGTTATCTTCTGTAAATCAAATGCACGCCTCCTGTGTACAATACATTTTTCTGGATGTTTTTGTTAACATAAACCATTATGTTTTCTGCCTCTCTTCTCTTGAGGACAAATTAGTCCTTTCACCTACAGCAACTTTCAGCCCTCACAGCCCTTTCCCTCTAGTCTTTGTCAAGGTTTCATTTCACTGTGTCTCCACCTCTGGCTTGCTGGCTTTCGCAGTTCTCCATTGCTGAGCTTTTCTTTGTCCGGTCTCCCACCTACATGTTTTGGTTATATTACAGTGCTCTGAACGAGTGGTTTTGAGAGCAGTTGGAGGCACGGCGTGCACCACTTCCTGCCTCTCTGCAGTCCGCACGGCTGTCGCGCAGCTAGCCTGGTCACCAGCTGCAGCGGGCTTGTACGTGGGACGTGCCATCGCACCGGACTGCCCCGTGCTTCTGAGAACACACTTGAGTTTGCAGTTCCTGGTTTGCAAGATGCCTTGCAGATAAGGTTGAGGCTGTCCCTGAGCTGTCCTGAAGAGCAAAAAGTGTGTGGATATAGCTTGTGTGGATGCTCCACTGATGTATCTTCTTATTTTCCTTTAATGGAGAGGGGAAGACCAGTTTGAGCCTGGCCTGGATGCCAGTATGTGTTGCATCATCTGTCTGTTGGACTGACAGGGGAAAAAGGCAAGTCGAGACTGAAGAGTGGTTTCTTACAGTCGGCTTACCTGGTATAGGTGTTGTCCTGGGGCCATCTTACAGAAGTCTACCCTGTGAAGTTTTTGAAGTTCTGCATTTAGAATTCCTATCTGAAAATCTTGGCTGTAGGACTTTGAGATATATTTGCTAATTTATATTCTAGCAGCATTGCTCTGATTGACGTGTGGTGGTTATGTTTATTAGTTTACTAGTCTTGTAAGTCTAGCGGTGAGAACATGGAAGTATGGATGTTTTCATTGGCATCAATATTCATTGTAGTTACCAGCAAAGATCTCCAGACAGGAAGCTGTACCACAAACAGTGTGAGAATAGGAAGATCTAGAGAAGAAAAAAATGGCAGTTCCTCCCTACGTTTAAATACGTTTTGCTTTTTGTGCTCATGATTTAACAGATGTCTTCTTCTTTATGCAGGCCTGTAATTGAAGTACAAGATGGCAAGAACCAGCCACAGCAACTATGTCCTTCAGCAGCTAAACAACCAAAGAGAGTGGGGCTTTCTATGCGACTGCTGTATTGCTATCGATGATATTTATTTTCAAGCACACAAAGCAGTTCTTGCTGCATGCAGCTCCTATTTTAGGATGTTTTTTATGAACCATCAACACACTACAGCCCAGCTGAATCTAAGCAACATGAAGATTAGCGCTGAATGCTTTGATCTTATTTTACAGTTCATGTATTTAGGAAAAATTTTGACAGCCCCTGCCAATTTTGAGCAATTTAAAGTGGCCATGAACTATTTACAGCTATATAATGTACCTGAATGTCTAGAAGATATACAGGATACAGACTCATCTAGTTTAAAATGTTCATCTTCTGCTTCTAGCACCCAGAATAGCAAAATGATATTTGGTGTGAGAATGTATGAAGACACGCTTGCTAGAAATGGCAGCGAAGCAAACAGGTGGGGCATGGAGCCGCCAAGTTCAACAGTAAATACATCCCATAACAAAGAGCCTGATGAAGAAGCTTTGCAGCTAAGCAGCTTCCCTGAACAATTGTTTGATGTCTGCAAAAAAAGCACCACATCAAAATTCTCTCACACAAAAGAGCGTGTGTCCCACTCACGCCGTTTTGGAAGAAGCTTCACCTGTGACAGCTGCGGGTTTAGTTTTAGCTGTGAAAAGCTACTGGATGAGCACGTGTTAACGTGCACTAACAGGCATTCTTACCAAAGTGCCAGGTACTACAGTGCTGAAAAAACAGACTTTAACGAAAAGGACTCTACTTCTAAAATCATCTCCACACAAACAGAAAAATACAAGGGGGACTCAAGCCAAGCTGCGGATGATTCTTCGTCTCCCGTGTCAAACATCACAAGCAGAAAAAGCAGCACAGTTGCCTCTGAGACATCAGGTGAAGAAGGGAGCAGAGCCTCTGAGAGGAAGAGGATTATCATCAAGGTGGAACCAGAGGACAATCCCACAGATGAGCTGAAGGATTTTAATATTATTAAGGTGACAGATAAAGACTGCAATGAGTCTTCCGACAATGACGACCTGGACGATGAACAGGAAGAGCCGCTTTACAGGTACTATGTTGAGGAAGAGATCAGAGAGAAGAGAAATGCTCGGAAGACTTTAAAACCCCGTTTATCCATGGACGAGGATGAAAGAAAGTGTTTGAAAAGTCCACGGCACCTTAACAGGAAGGCTCCCTCAGTGCAGGAAGATGTGGAGAACGCTCCCTGTGAACTTTGTGGGTTAACAATCACCGAGGAAGATTTGTCCTCTCATTATTTATCCAAACACATAGAAAATATATGTGCTTGTGGCAAGTGTGGTCAAATACTGGTCAAAGGCAAGCAGTTACAGGACCATGCACAAACCTGTGGAGAACCCCAGGATCTGACCATGAACGGTATCAGAAATTCTGAGGAGAAAATGGACTTGGAAGAAAACCCTGAGGAGCAGTCAGAAATAAGGGACATGATGTTTGCAGAGATGCTAGAGGACTTCAGGGACAGTCATTTCCAAATGAACAGCCTTCAAAAAAAACAGTTATACAAGCATTCTGCCTGTCCTTTCCGATGCCCTAATTGCGGTCAGCGTTTTGAAACTGAAAACCTAGTGGTTGAACATATGTCAAACTGCCTGGAGCAAGATCTGTTCAAGAACTCCATGATGGAAGAGAACGAGAGGGATCACAGACGTAAGCATTTCTGCGATCTTTGTGGGAAAGGATTTTATCAGCGTTGCCACTTGCGGGAACACTATACCGTTCATACCAAGGAAAAACAGTTTGTTTGTCAGACATGTGGGAAGCAGTTCTTAAGAGAGCGCCAGTTGCGGCTCCACAATGATATGCACAAAGGCATGGCCAGGTATGTCTGTTCCATTTGTGATCAAGGAAACTTCCGAAAACATGACCATGTACGGCATATGATATCTCACTTATCAGCTGGAGAGACTATATGCCAGGTCTGCTTTCAGATATTCCCAAATAATGAGCAACTGGAGCAGCACATGGATGTTCATCTGTATACATGTGGAGTATGTGGAGCAAAATTTAATTTGAGGAAAGATATGAGATCTCACTATAATGCCAAGCATTTGAAAAGAACATAAGCGTAAACATACTGTTAAAGCATTAAGTTGGCAGCAGAGAACACCAAAGCAAGGCATACAGTATAGTAGACAAAAATTAAAAAAAAAAAAAAAATTGAAAATAAGTCTCTTTTTTATTATTTTTTTTTTAAGACCCTCCTAACCATAGGTGTCTATTTAGGCTTATTAAGTATATAGCTCTGAAAAGCATCATGTGTTTAATTATTACATTTTCACTGTTTCCTAATATCAGTTTCTGTTCTTAATTTTATTGTTTTACTAAGTAGATATACAAATCATTATTTTTAAACTGTAGATTAAAAGCACAATGTTACCCCTTCACTGACTGCTATTAAACAGTTCTCGGATCCATGTCCGTAAGATGAGTGCTTTAATATTTCCATGTGTTGTTTCTTCATGTGAAAATTTTAGATCACAGTGATTAACGTGTAAGAGCATAATTGTTCATAATCCCCAAATTAATTTTCAAAATGAAAAAAAAAAAAACAAAACAAAAAACAAAAAACCAAAACAAATGCCAAGAAATAATCCTTTGTTCTCTGACTCTGCTGTAAGGGCAGAGCTGTGGCTGTCCTGGTCCTCTGCTTCTTGGCTTTGTTGGAACGTGCATCCCAGGGGTGAGAGCACGTAGGCTCAGTTAAACCTTGCAGACTTGGACTGGTGTGCGCAAAGGGAAAGGGAGTTAATGACTGTCGGGATAACCAAGGAGTTCCCAGCAGAGTGGTCATTTTCCAGACTTGAAATCCTAGCAGAACCGTACAACTGACGTTGGCCTTTCATTTTCTGGCTGTACCTGCGTGCGTGTATATAACCTGCTTACCCTAACGTATGGGGGAAGAGTGGCTGTGGTGAATTGCTAGGAACGCAGAATGGCGATGTGCGTGGAAGACTGCATTTCTCAGCCTAGCTGTAAATGGTGCCTTGCAGCTTGTGTTGGAAAGTTGAAAGTGGGATGGGTGTGAAGATAGTCCCATTGCTTGGGTGGGGAGGGGAAGGGGGATGGGGAACGTGGCTCATGGGAACCTTAGGGGTTTTGTTTCTTGTTTTCATGATACTTTCTGAATGTTCTGTTTTTCAACAAGAATATAACAAGAAAAGACTGCACAGTTTGCTTAATAAATGTAAAGATATTTTATGCCTTTTAAGATTCCTTTCTGATTCTAGTATAGCCCTAATCTGCGTAGCTTGTCTCTTAATTTAATTGAATTTTAAAATCCTACTAAGTACCAGCTGACATCAATTCAGTGAGGCAGTTTGGCCTTTGAGAGAACAACTGGCTTTGACTCCTAGGCACCAGCTGTCTAAATGTTTGTTAAGTGCATGATTTTTAATGAGGGGAGGGGGAAGGATCCTAATATGTAATGGTGGAGAAAACTATTAAAAAATAAAACCTAGCAGTACTTTCTCCCACTGAGCCCTGGAAGGAGGAAAGCAATTTAGATTAGCCATTAAGGCAGTGGGACTAGATGATCGTTGTAGGTCCCTTCCAGCTGAACTACTCTATTCTGTCACCTCGCGCGCCAGTGGTGGGTTGAAAATAGGAGCTGGGAGCTGAAGGTCTAGTCCAGGACTTTCACACACCTGTTGCTGTTGGAGTTGAGTTTTGATCCCTTGTTGTTTCTTGGGGATCATGAGGGGTATTGGGCTTTAACGTTAAGACTATTTTGAGAAATTAATACAGTTCAGAATCTCCGCTATAAGTATTTAAATTGGTATGAGTTGCCTTGCGTTTATTCAGTTTAAAATGTGCATTAGAATTTCTCTTGGTTGGTAGACGTGTGTTTCTGCAGTGATGGAGAAGGACCCCGCCACCAGACCTCAGTCCTGAGCCAGGAGCTGGCTCCCCAGGCGCTGACTGCTTTGCGTGCAGTTCAGGCCTTCAGCGTTTTCCCGTGACTGCTCAGTCCTATGTTTTCTTGTATGATGCTGAAGCCAACCAAGTCCTGAGTAACATCGGGGCCAAAAAAGACCACAGACATGAAAACACTCCAGCATTTCAGTTAATTCAGAGCTTCTCCCTTCTTAGGATTTATTCCACATTCCCCATCCCAACCCAGACTGACGCTCAGTGTGTAAGAGTTCAAAGAATAAGTGGGATAGGTATTTTCACGCTTTTTAGCACTGGAATCAGTGCTAAGGTGATTAGAAGACTCTTCAAAAGGCAAAATATTTAACTATAATGATTGTCTTAGAGATGAAGTAGTCAGGTGCTGTAGTGGAAAAGTTGAGGGGGTTAACACACTGCTCACGGCAGTTCTCTGACATTCGGGTTATCCCTTGTGGTATCAGCTATGGCTGGACTGGGAAAAGCAGCCCAGGGAAGTAAGGGAGAACTGGAAGTCCTGGGGACTTGGCAGAAGAGTCTTGTGGCGCTGGGGGAATGGAAAGACTGGGAGAGGAGGGATGGGTGAAGGCTGGGAGGGCAGGGTTAGAGCTGAGCGGTATGAAGCAAATCCCAGAGGTGGCACGCAGGGGGCAGCTGGAGGAGAGGATGAAATGTCCTGTAGACACCTGTGAGACCGGAGTGGGAATGACTCAGCTTGGCTGGGAGAGCCGTCGGCCTGGGTGATTAGCTCACAATGGCACAAACTCGGAGTGCGGATTGCGTACGAAGTACAGCCAGCCACTGTGCTGGAAGTCCTGCAGTGGCACAGCAAAGCCTAGATTAAAGACCTTGTTGAAAAGGAGGAGGTGACCTCCGCGAACTAAGAGATCATTCCTGAATACAGTGGAGGGCTCAGGGTGATTTATGGAGACTCCTGCTCGGGGCCAGAAGCCTTTGTTTACAATGTATTGGTCTGAACTTGACCCAAAAATGTTTCACAAAAAAAGTTACTTCCTAGTGTAAGTAGACCTGCCAACTACAGAAGTTAAATGGAGGAACTGGGAATTATGGTATTTATGTGTACTATGTAACTTTATAAACACTCTGGAATACCTTTGTTTTTCAATTATAAGCTGTGTTGTAGTAGCCTTTCAAAGGAAAGCTTGTTAAACCTTTCCAACTGAACTTGCATTAATGTTTTTTCCTGTTTTTGTGAAACAAACCTCAGTGCCTTGGAGTTCATGTGTGCAAATGTCCAGAGTAAGGCTGAGAAATAGTGTGAATTGCACTGCAGGGGAGCTTAAGAGTGGATCCATTTGTACGTAGGCAGAGAAAACCAGAAGGACTGAAGTAGCCTGAAAAGTGATCAAGGGGAGTGTAGCAGGACAAATCGAAGGTAGTAAGGCATAAACAAGACAGTCTGGCTTGCAAGTAGATGGGGGGGAGTGTATGGTGACATGGGACTATTGAAAAAAATACCTGGAGTGTCAGGAGGAATTTCGCTGCTGTGACTGGGGAGAAGGGGTGGGTGCTGAGGCAGCCTGGGGCTGGTCACTCCTGAGGACAGGGGTGTTCTCCCCTGAGTGGGGCAACATCTGCAGGAGAGTGAAATGATGGTGTTTCAGCGCTCCTACCATGATAAAAATTACTGTGGAGACACAATGAAAGCAGACCTGGAAAAAAAAACCCAACCCCAAACAGTTGCAGTTATATCCTAGAAGTCTTGCTGTTACTTGAAAGATAGTGAAGGGGAAGCAAAAATACTTCATTTGGAGTTCTGTTTCCTCTAACAAATTTGTACTTCTCAGTCTTCATAACATAGTTCCTTTGCATCTCCTTACTGTACTGCATGGATTATTAGAGTGTAAAAGCACTTAAGGATCTTTGAGAGTGGACATGTAAGCGTATCACAGTGCACAAGGCATAGCCAGAAAGAAAAAGACTTGCTGGATGCTCTGACTTATATTTTTAAGTGATTTGCTATTCTTACTTCTGGAGGACCTCTCTCTATTCTGTTGCTTTCCTCATTTTGACGGTGGTGTGGGCTGCAACCCTGAAAATAATTTGTAAGTAGCTAGGCTAGGTCTTAGCTTTCAGGATTTACTGAAAGTTAAAAAGAGGGAATGAGTTTTAAATTGTCATAAAAGCTGTCAAACTTCTTTTTCAGTTTCAGAGGAGTGATTTCAAATGTTAAAAAAAAAAAAAAGTGTATATATATATATACTTGAAAATCCTTATTGGCAACTTTTTAATTCAGGAGTATTTACATCTATGTTGTTGTGGTTTAACCCCAGCCAGTAACTAAGCACCACGCAGCTGCCAAGGGGATGGGGAGGAGAATGGAAAAAACCTCGTGGGTTGAGATAAAGACAGTTTACTATGATAATAAAGGAAGAGAATAATAATAATAATAGTAACAACAACAATAATAAATATAAAACAAGTGATGCACAAATGCAGTTACTCACCACATGCAGAAGAAAAGAACCCAATGCCCAGTCTGTTTTCGAGCAGCGATCCTGCCTCCCAGCTAGCTTCCCAGTTATATCCAGAGCATGTTGGTGTATGGTAGGGAACATCCCTTTGGCCAGTCTGGGTCAGCTGTCCCAGCTGTGCTCTCCCAGCTTCTTGTGCATCAGGACATTGTGTAATGATATTTGGAGCCAGCAGGTCTGTGAAGAAATCTTGATTTGAGTAGATTAGAATATCACAGAATTCTAAGAATTTATGTTTTTGTTAGGGGACTTCTCTATCTAATATTTTCAGTTAATGGAGAAAATAGAATTCAGCATATTTTTTATTCAGAGCTGAAGACAGAAAATGTACTGCCCTGGAGAATATATTAAAAATACATTGTTATAAAAGTGAATACTTTGACTACGCTATTGTATTTGAATACACTAAGAGTATCTCAGCTATTGCTGAGGACAT